TAAAACCAGATTTTAAAATATGTAAATCATAATTCAATCATTTTATTTTTAATCCAATAATATAATCTGCAATTATTTTTACATCAATCCTTCCATGAATTTAAATAAATTTTACGAGAATATTAACATACGTAAAATCCTTAACCATATTTCGAAAAGTCAAATATATATCATAGCTAATAAGCTATAAAGAACAAAAAAAAAAAACAACAACTTTTATTTAGATTATTTATTCAAAATAACTTTTTTTTACATCTGTCTCCAAAATATAAATAATTCACTTGTTTAACGAACGGATTGCTGGAAGGGACCCAGGTCGTTTAGTGAGGAGTGACTGGTTGGTCATTTTTAACTTGAAATCTGATGGTAGATCTCAATGGTGTCTGTCGCAAACTATTTAAATATTACGTGAGTTAGCATTCTCCCCTCCCTCTTATAAATAATCACTTGATCAGTGGTTCTAGCAGTTTGTACTTGACAAGTAGTTGAGTGTGGCTTGGATTCACCTCAAGTCTCTCTTCAGTTACCAAGACAACTAGTCGAATGACTGAATCTAATTCGAATATCGGATGGCGGCCTAAAAGCCGAGACATCGATCCTAGCGCACCCACTGCAGATTAGTGTCATTGAGCATATAGTTTTTTTTTTCATGAACAATGTCGAGGGTTACAAGGAAAAAATTCCCAACAATCTTAGAACCCTTATCAGCTGTGTCAGACCTACAGCATTCGAGTTTATCGAAATTTGTTCAGGCTACGACACCACCCGAGCTAAGTTGCACACTATTTTTTTTATTAAAACTCCAAATGAGATCTTTTCAAGACATTTACGTGCTACAAGAAAACAGGAATCTAACGAAAATCTCGATAACTTCTTCAGGGGACCCGAAAAAACTAAGACAGGATTGCCATCTCAAAGATCGTACAGCCAAAGACGTCTAACATTTTATGCATAATAATATGAGATAAAAAAATAAAATTATTATTTCATAAAATATTATATTTCCCATATTCAGCGGAGCATCTTGCATATCACTTTGTAGTCTGATGGTTGACATCCATTTTATGATAGCAATTTGTTTGACCTTAATTTTAACTTAAAGAAAGCAGTTCTGATGAAAAAAGACTGACATTTTTTAAGTCAGAAATGTATTGAAAGTGTACTAATTTCTGAATCTTCTGCAGTATCGTTGTCCTTTATCACCTTACCTTAAAAAATTACTATGGATAAATGTGGGATAATTTAAAACGATGACGATAAAAGCAATAAAAACTGAATAAACCAGGCTATACTTAAGATCTACAGATATCGGTTGTCAAAATTGTAATCTCAATGCTTGAAATATTTCGATATCAATTGTGGCTTTACTCCACTTATCAGTCAAAGAACTACTATCGACCGCTAGAATACTTCGCAAAATCGCAGTATATGAGATAAGGGCGCAAAAGTTTATATCTCTTTCAAGCAACAAGATGCTTTCTTATTTTTTCTTACAATGATGTTCAATCTGTACAAGGCCCGAGAACCACTCAAGTAGAGGGTTATAGAGTAAGAGGCATAGGTTATGCGGGTATTTGACGAAGATAAGGGTTAAACCTTTATTTGAACAGGTTAAGTTATCAGGGAAGCATCCTCTTTGGAATCGGTTTAAACAAACCAGTGGTTCGTGGGAAGAAACTGCTCGAGTGGAAGTTACATCTCACAAATGGAACAGTAGGGGAATGAGGGCGCTTCATTACATATAGAGCAACGAAAGTCTTGCTACGTTTCGTCTGTGAGATATGGATTGTAAGACGAAAAATAATCTGTCACCCACAAGACGCTTTTGGACTCTTTTGAAACTGGAAAGTAAAGACAGGACAGATCCCGTCCATAAATAGCAATAATACTCTCTTTTCTTTGGTGACTCATCGAAGTGGGGGGGGGGGAGAAGCACGTTTTACCACGAATCTAATGTAGCATTAAAAGCAACACAAATGCCCTATTTTTCCTAAACTACAAATAGATGTATCTCAAAATGTAAGTTATGATTTCATAGGAATTTTGCAGTCTTATGTACGAAAAAAAATCTTTGTATAGACAAAGTCACCAACTTAGTTATACTTTCAGTTTAATTAACTTTATCATTCTCTTGATGTATTTTCTCTGGACTCTCCATTTTCTTATATATTAGTTTTTTTTTTTTTTTTTGCAACACGCTGACGTATGTAAAAATCCTCACAGTATTTAGCATTGTTGAAATTATCGCGAAATTTTTTTGTCGAAGTTTACAAACTCTACGTTTCGTTCAATTTCGCAAATCAATCGTTGAAATTTGAATAAGCTGATTTCTTTGAAAAATACTTTGACAAAATCCCTTCTTCGCTGTTTAATAATTTATCTTATTTTATAGGACTTCATGGTAAAAATATTTTTTTAAGAAAATATTTTTTTTCCCTTTTATCACCCAAGAATAAATTCTTAGGATTTTTTACTGTTGAGAATGCAAAATACAATTGACCATGCGTAAATATTTCTTTCTGGAATCAAATTCCAACTTTTTGAATCGTTTGGTTTTGTGCTTTTGTTTATGGCAAACGCAGGACGAACTGGGAACTAGATTGTTATATATAAAAACTTAAAGATATACAAAAAACAATATTGCATGAAATAAGTATTTGTTATTTTAATCATTATTTTTTTTTCAAATAGTGGGAATATTTTGTTTGATATATAATAAATATTTTAATTAAAAAAAAATTATCAATTAAATTTTATTGTAATAAGTTACGTACCCCAGTAAAACCAAGTGTACTTTGTGCCCACTTACCTGTTTGCTCTTCTTGCAGAAATTTGGTTTCGATCAGATAATGGACAGTCTAACGGAGCTCACAAAATTTTATATATAGATAAAATTGGTTTCCCCAATAAAACTGTTACTTATTTTAAATTCTTTCTCGGAATAAAACGCGTCAATGTTTTCCATCATTTTATTCATTTGCCGACAGGTTTGAACCCAAAATTAATATCTTATTTATTCTTTCAATTAGAAGCCATTTGTAATTAATTAAATGCAAATCAAACGAAATTAAATTAACTAAGATTAATGATAATGGTAGAAGTTCTTTTTTTTTTTTTTTTAACTTGCGCTATCCCGAAGACACTTGATATTAATAATAAATGATTGTAAGTCATTACTAAGCAGCCTCCACTGGTAGTTCAGGTAACAGCTGTTGCCAGACAACTTGATGGAAATTGAATGTTCTCTCTCGCTCTCTCTCTCTCTCGCCCCCACTCTCTCTCTCTCTCTCTCTCTCTCTCTCTCTCTCTCTCTCTCTCTCTCTCTCGCCCTATCTATCTATCTATCTATCTATCTATCTATCTATCTCGCCCACTCTCTGGTGAGTAGAAAATAAACTTCCTACTTTATGGTTTCAAAACGTCGGCATTCTGAAAGACATGTAAGGTTACCGAATTTCTACAGAAAAGAATGGAAGCATGCGTTTGATATTCGAAACGCCAGCTGATATATTACCAGGGGAATATTACGATATGCTTTCAGAAGATCATAGCTTATTTGTATGCGGGTGTTTGCTTCGTTGTTTGTGAATTTTCATGACGAGCCTAGAAGCATATTCACGTACGGAAGAGCATTCTTGAAGTTACTTGAAGAGTTTAACAGAAGCGCTACAAATATGTCAATGTAGAAAGGGCCCTCGGCATGTGGTAATAGTTAGCAAGCGAGTTTGATTGACCATCATTTCTGAGTAATGAATTGGATCTTCACTGTCAGTCTCATCCCAACGGCCTTGTGTTAAACTCTCACCGTGGAGCTTCACAAAGAAGAAACGTTTAAAACATTATTTGGTCTAAACAAAACAAAACAAAAAAGAACCTCATTAGGTTAAAATTGAAGTACTGCTTAAATCCCTTTATTTCAGATTTCGTACATTATTTACTCTGAGACTATTGTCCTCATCTTTGTTGTTATTATGACAATGTTGTTTCTACATCAACTGCTTGTCGAACCGAGTAGCCAGCAGGGACAAGCGAAAGCCGAAGGATACAGTTCTTATTCTTCTATATAGCGAGTGTCTTCAGGATATAAGAGATCATGGCGCTAGACAACTTCCTGTCATTTGTAACCCTTAGTAAAGTGTGACTTTTTGCTATATCTTTTAATCCGTGTTCTGCCAACCATTTACACAACCTCGCTATGTGGGATATTTTCCCCTGTTTCTCATTCCTTCAGTATGTCCGCAGAGTGTCAAAATTTCCAGGGTCTCTTTCCTCAATATGTGTCTTAGAAATTTCAAATGTTTTTTTTTCCGATGCTAGGTATAAGTGTTCTTTTCGTTTCCATTTTCTCTTAAACTTTATCGTCGGTAACGTGTTCTCTTCATAATATTCTCAGCATCCTGTAGAACCACATGTCAGGTACCACAAGTCTCTTCACCATCTGCATTTGCTGACATATCGGATAACCAATATTACGTAATATTTCACTACCCTTTTCTTTGTTTCCAATGACATTTTTCTGTTTATTATTACTTTGCTTAACTTTTGGGAGGCATCTTTTGCCTTCGGATTTCGTTCTCACATTTTCCATACTTGATTCGAAAACAATCAGAGCATATTGTCTGTCTTTTGCACAGTAAACATAAATATTCTATTATCACTACTGCTTGAGGCCATATCACGTTGAAACACAGGTTTCGGTACGATCACCGAAGATAAGCAACGTCGAAGCCGGGTCAATATGATAGCAAAACGAGATTGTTGATCCTGACTAACGCATGCGGTAAACTAAACAATGCCTGTCGTATGCCACTGTAAATCGAGCATTGAGTAAAAGATACTACATATCGCCGTATCGACCTCCAAGCAGCTAGATTGCGACGACATCCTGTCATTATTGTGTGTTGGCGTGTTCAACGTTTAGAAGAGAGAAATAACAAAATGCGGCTTAAAAATGATAATCTCACCCAAGAAAAATGATTTCGATTACCAACATAACAGGCTTACGGCCACATCACGTTGAAACAGCGGTTCCCGTACGATCATCGAAGTTAAGCAATGTCGAGCCTGGTCAGTACCGAGATGTGTCACAGCATGAAAATACTAGAGTCTATAAGCTTGCATGTGAGGGTGGTGTAACGGATGAGAACTCGGAAATTGTTAGTCGGAGAGCCGAGTTCGTATTCCAGTAGTATCCGTTATATTCACTTACGTGCAAATACCTTCGGCAAGGTATGAATCCACCTCTTCTCCTCCAGCTATGGGTTAATAATTATTTTCATTATAGAAAGTCTTACTAATTAACTCCAAAAGAAAAAAATATGAAAATCTAAAAATAGTTTTTGTTTTAAGCAACCCTTAAATAACTCACCGTAAGGATGTATCTCTGTGCCTTTTTTTATAAATATTTTTCTGGTAATTGTTCGGAAGAGCTCTTCAATTTGGTACCTTGACTTGATGAATTTAAATGAAATACTAGACTGGCGTCGTGATCTCATCAATTTATAGGTAAGCTAGCTAGATGTAGCCGTAATTGCTATGCTGTTTCTTTTCTCGCACTTTTCGCTTGTGAAACTTCATTTTGGCTCTATGTTTTCCAGCCTAATCTAATCTGCAAATATTTAAATGCAGTCTCAATCGTCATCTACTCTCTGTCTGATGACGGTTTCTTTTTCTGCTCATTATTAATGGTTCTGTTCCTAATTCGTCCACATTATGTAAAACCTTGCGTTTGCGTAGTTTTGCT